GTGGGGAGAAAGGAACCCCTCTCCATTGTTGGTGGGAGTGCAGACTGGTGCAACCACTGTGGAAATCAGTATGGAAATACCTCAAAGAACTAGGCTTAGAGGTGCCATTTGATCCAGCTATTCCCCTGCTGGGTATCTTCCCAAAAGAATTAAAAGAATCTTACCACAGCAATACATATGCACCCATATTTATAGCAACACAGTTTGTAATACTGAAAGCTTGGAAACAGCCCAAGTGCCCATCAACTGGAAACTGGATAAAGATGTGTGTGTTTTTTTTTTAATAAAATGGAGTACTACTCAGCCATAAAGAATGAGAAACTAGAAACGTTTATAGCTAAATGGATGCATATTGAGGCCATCCTCTTACATGAAATAAATAGGACACATATGTGTAAATACTGAATAGTTTCTCTAGTGTGAGAAACTGAAAGTGTAGTTAAGGATATACACAGATGAAATGGCCTAATAACATTTCTTGGATTGTGCTTCCATCGCGTGTCATATGACTGTATCAAAATTTAAATTAGGGAGAAGTTTGGCTTATGTGGAGTCTAACTAACTGGAATTTTTTTCCAGATCATTATTTGTTCAGTGTTGGCTTTGGGGATCTTTCTGAAACAAATCACATCCTCTGGTGTTTTGTTGGTGCTTGAGATGCTTTTTCAAGTTATATGGAAGAAATGTTTAAGTGCTTTTCAGTTTTGTTTTGGTTGAGTTCTACTGTATTTGAATATTACTGTAGTTTTTTTCCCCTTGCATTGTTCTTTGAATAGTTTTAATTTTTTCTATGTGTGTTTGATAATAAAGTTATTTTATTAAAAAAAATTTTTAAAAATGGTACCTGAGTCTGGCATCTGTCAGAAAGATGGGGTGACTATATTAGCTGGGAAGATGGCAGTGATAGTAAGAAAATTCCTGGAGATTCAAAAGTTGCTAGATCAGATAACGATCAGATAAGGAGCTCAAGGCTCCTGAAGGAATTGCTGCATCCTCAGTTTATGTCAGATTCTAACTTTGTGTTTGGTCTATAATGACCTAGATAATGTAATCTATCTTTGGAAAAGAATACTACCTGCTATAAATCTTCAAATTCTGAACTTGGGAGAATTTGGTCTGTAGGAAAAAGTAAATTTTCATGGGATTTCCTTTTTTTTCCTCTCTCTCTCTTTTTTCCTTTTTTTGACAGAATCTCACTATATAGTTCAAGCTGGCTTTGAACTCACTGTAGCCCAGGCTGGCCTTGAACTCATGGTGATCCTTCTGCCTCAGCATCCCGAGTGCTGAGATTAAAGGCATGTGCCACCACACTTGGCAGTCATGGATTGATATGACAATCAATGCTCACTAGTAGTCTGACATGGTCCGGTCAATCATGGAAGCACTTAGAAATGCAACAAGAAGATAAGCCTTTGCCCAGGTTTCTCAAGCATGTACTTCAGTAATGGCTGAGTTTGAATTCTTTGCAGTTTTCATTGGATTCCCTGTGGAAGAGGCTCTGAAAGGCATACCAGAGCCAGTCTGGCAAGCCAACTCCATTGTGAGAATGGTTCTGCCCAGAAAGCCAGTTGCAGAGGATTAGTTCCACCAATCCCCAGTGAACAGCAGTAAGCCTGATTGGCCGATTATAGGGCTTTCTTATACCATTTTGAATTCAAGATGTAACTTCAGAAGCTTATATACTGACAGAGAAATGTAAAATTTTCATTTTGAATTTATTGAAGTACCTCAGCATTCCTTACTATGTGATAAAATATATAATACAGAGTCCTCAAACACCATGCTGAACAGTTGTTGAAACACATCTTGCACTGTAATATTTAACAATTTGGTTGGAGCTTATCAGTATTATGTGGTTAGTTTATATTTCCCAGTGACTCATAAAATAAGCTTTCCTGTTTCACGTAGAACAGTGGTTGTCAAATTTCTTCTCCCCGCCCCTGCACATACCACACTCCCACCTGGGCCACTCATTGACAGCAGTAGTGATTCACTGAGGACTGTCCTGATGGCAGTACCTGAATTTCTGGGGATTGTGATTCACTCTCTGGAAAATATGCTCTCTTCTCTGACCACGGAGAATCATTAATGCAAAGTACAGAAATATAGTTGAACTAATAGACTATTTCCTTAGTAACCCAGCTTGTTAACATTCGATTTTTTTCCCAAGAGACCTTATCATGAAAATGACTTTGGATATTCATGAGAAGCGTTAAGTTGTAATATTTCCTTTCAAAAGAAGGGAAAAGTTAAGTGTGGAATGTAATATATGGGGAAAGGAGCTACTAAAATAAGCGAACTGTCTGTTTGTTGCTTATATTTATCCCTTGTTTCAAGAGAGCTTCCTTTTGAAGAAATACTGGACAAATCTCATGTTTAGTGTGATAACTCTCTGAATATTTGAGGTTATCTTCAAGGTTGAAACATCCTTGTTTCATTTCTTCTACATTCATCCAAGAATTGAGTTCTTTAAAAAAGGCACCTGCCTCTATTAAATGTACCTGCTTCATAGCATTGATCTGAGGATTAAGGAGATAATGCACGGAGAGGATTTAGTATTTAATAAAATACAGAAAATAATTCCGTAATAAACGGTGTCCAGGGCCGGGGATTTAGCTCAGTGGTTCCGCCGCCTGCCTTGCAAGCGCAAGGACCCGAGTTTGATCGCCGGTACCAAAAAAAAAAAAGGAAAAAATAAATAAATAAACGGTGTCCATTGCTAACATACACAACAACCACACAGGAGGAATTCATTGCTCATTTACCTAGTTAGCTGGTTGAGGAACTCCCACAGCGCACCCTGGTGGGAAATTTGTGGAAAAAGCTTTGGCATCCATTGTGGGAGGGAGAGTAAGTTGGTCAATCCTCTGACCCCACTGTCCCACTTCTAGTAATTTACTTTGTTTATATATTTGCAGGTACAAGCTGTCCTAATGCAGTACTGTTTGTAATAGTAAAACACTAGGTACACTTGTATGTCCTTCCCAACCAATGATCTCCAAAATGGAAAAGATGCAGACAGGGATGGGCAGGCTGCCATTTGTGAACAAGAATCATTGCAGAATCTTAACTACAAGAGGCCAGGGATGACAAAGACATCATTATGTGTCCCTAAGGAAGGCTGACTACTGCTGATTAAACTGGCACAATGCTCAGAACTTTTTGAGATTTCACTTATTTAGACATGAATTTGTCATATATCAATTTTGGACATAGATATAAAGAAATATAAGTGAAATGTTACAGTTCTTGGTGAAGCTAGGCATGCCTGATTATATTGTTTCGAGGTGTTAAAATGTGGAAAAGTGATGCATGTCTTAGACTGAACAAAGTATTAACTTGGACTCAGGAATCCTGGAATGAAAATGCCAAAAACTCACTGGAGAGGGAAGGGAATTTCTTATGCAGGGATGAGTTAGAAGGGAGGTACCTGAAACTTTAAAAAATTAAAAAAAAATCTTACCTATTAATTTTTTAAAAAGCCATTCCAATGTCAAAGTCAAGACTTTGAACTTAAAGGCATAGTTTCTCCTATTGTTAGGGACAGGGTCACAGGAGAGGCAAGGGGCAGAAAAGGGCCTGCTGGCTTCCTGTGGCCAGGGCAGATGCTGTGAGGCCCCTTCTAGGGGGCATTTATGGGCTCTTCAGTCTTGGTCCAGTCAGGAGCTCTTGCTCATACTTCTGTGGTGGCCAAAGAAGAGTCTTTGGCTGGCTGCTTGTTTCTCCCTTGGTCCTGGAATCTATGTCTATCTTCCACCCAGTTTCCTCTGTTCCTACAAAGCAGGACCTAATGCATAGGTTTGGCTGCCTCACAAGGGCCCACTACTAACTCTTGGGAGATGCTGTGTATTCCCAGACCTCAGACTCTTAGGTTCCAGGCTCCTCTGGGAACTCAGTTCTCTATGCTCCAGCATGATGGAAGCTGGCCTGGGAGATCATAGGGGAAGGATGACAAAGTGGAGAGATCTGGGATGCATCCAAAGTGGCACCTTGATTGCTTGCTGATGGACTGGACATGGCATGAGGGATGAGGCCACTGAAACAGAGAGGTAAGGTCACACACTGCAGGAACTGGCTCAGACTGAGACTTGGTTCAGATGCTACAAGTCAGGGTCATGCTTTCTATTCTGCTTGTCTAGCCTGAAAGGGGGATGGGAGGGGACAACCATGACACAAGCCAAAACCATTTGAAAGACCTTTTATTTAGGCCTGGGATAGGGTCCTGAGATAGCAGTTCCTTTAAAAAAGCTAGTTAGGATAGCCCTTCTGTAACAGCTGCTTCCCTTGAATGAGCTCCAGAACACTGGCACTTTGGCATTGCCATCCACAGTGTAAAGATGTACCCAGTTCCTGCCCCCCAAACTGGTTTTCTCCCAGGGATATCTCTGGAGGAAGTAACTAGATGTACACAAAACTCTACCTACAGGTTTGTTTGGCATGGTTGTTGCACTTGTTAGGGCATGACAGCTAACTTGCCTTTTTCAGTGATAAATTTGGGATATTTTCCCCATCAGGAAATGTCCCAGTCATTGCACTGTATCTTTGGGCAGGCCCCTTTAATACCAGGTGGCTCCCTTACTCACCAACTGATGTTGGGGATGTTCCAAAATCCTCCAGTTAAGAACTGTCCTGAATTCAGAAGCCAGGAGACTGGTGCCTTATGAAAGCCCATCTAGGCCACCAGAACTAAAGAATAGCTTTTCTCAGCCTGGAGCCAGATCAATGCAATTCCTCTGACCTTAGGCCAGGCACTGGGACTGTCTGAACTGCAATTATAGGTAAGCTACATCAGCAGTCATGATCCCTTCCCAAGGTGGACAGAAATTCAAGAGCCCTCTGCAAACCAATCTAGATGACGCAGGTGTTACTGGGTCTTAGGAGCTGTTCTGATGTGTGATTTAATATAAGCAGAAACCCGAAGGAAGGGCAGGGAATAAACTGTGTGAAGGCAGGGCCTAGGGGTGGGGGTGGAGTATATGTACCTGGCCACACGTTAGAACACAGGCTCTGAAAGACAAGCACCACATACCATTTACCAGCTGTGACCTGGGCTTAGGTTCTTGCACTGTAACGTGGAACCTCTGTGGAGCACCACAGAATTTAAGATGGCTGCTGTGACTTTCCAAGCAACTCATTAAAAACTACAAAACTCTGCTGTCTTCTTTCTGGTTTTTAATGGTCAAGGTGACAATAATTTTGTTTTCAAGATCTGTATTTAGCTCCCAGTTACCACCACCTGCTAGAGAAAACACTGGGGCAGGTACTGCAGCCAGTTTGGGATTGAAGCACCAAGCCAAGTTGAAACTACCACCTTCCATGGCTGTAGGTGGATACAGCACTAGTTCCCGGCTGGTAGCAAGGGGGTGAAGCAGGAAATTGTCTGGTGGTGCCCACTTGTTAAGATGGTTGAGGCATAATATGGCTCAAAACCAGGTTGGATCTGTGGCTCACTTAACATGGTGGTAGGAAAGGTTCCATCTAAACCCGAAAGGTCCTCCTCACCTGCCTTGCAAAGAAGCAAACTTAGGGGTGTGGAGGGTCTTTACCAGGCTATGACTACAACCTTAACTGCTCCAAGTTAGAAGCAATAGAGCAGAGATGATGTGAAGTGAAACCTGCAACCCAAAGCTACATTCTGACATTATATTCACTCTCAAAAACTGCTTGCCAGTCTCACAAACACCAACACAATAAAAGGCACCCGCAGCACAGGACAGTACTCACCCCTTCAGCATCTTATTTGCAACACACTAGTGAATAATTTAGTAGCACTGATTTGTTGCTTGCTTAAGCCAAAATACCCTCTGAACTCATCTGGGTTGGCATGAACTGTATCCCAATGAAGACATACCCTACCTACCTCTTAAGTCCCCTCAGACTTCTGCATATGGAATGAAGCAATGGCAGCAACCAGGAATCACCAAGGGAGAGTAGCCTTGGATGGTGGGAGGGCAAATGGATGGGCAGGTGTAGAATCTCACTGGCTATGGCCTGGGAGCATGGATTTCCCAGGCAGGGCTGAGTGAAGGGTATGTGGAGAAGTATTTATTTTCACCCAAAGAGATTGTGTGCATCCAGCTCTGACCTCACACTTCAGGGAACTTTTGCCACTGCCAATTTTTATTGGGTCAAGTGATATATTCATATGGGAACAAGTGGCTGCAAAGCCTCTTTCCATATATCTCTTCTTTCTTCCCTATAAAGGGAGAATCCTCCACACTTTTGGGGGTGGCAGAAGGTACATGCTAGTGGATGAGTGTTGTGTGTCAGTCAATTTTATGCATAGAGGATGGAAAAAGGGCTCCTGCCATGCTCCTAAGATAAATAACATTTTATGGCAATGAAGTTCCGCTCCAGGGGGAGTTTCCATACACATGCTGGTGATGTTTCTTCCATTTTTTTTGGTTTTTTATTTTTTTCCTTTAAAGTCCATTGATCCTCACAAAAACCCAGGAAATGTAACTAAGGAAAAAACAAATGTCCAACCAAAATCTAGGAACCCAGAGCTATAGAGGAGATGTGGCACTGGAGCACTGGGTGTGCACAGGGGCAGGGGGGTGATCCCCATGGGGCATGGCTGCCAACTGCAGGAGACATAGAAAAGAGGTGGCCCGAGGCTGAGTGGTTATGTTAACCGCTGCACGATGACAGCATTGAGTAGGTTGGCTTCCTTCAGAGTTTGGCTCTCGTCAGCCAGCTCTTTGTTTGGAAAGGTAGTCATGAGGACAAAGCTGGTGGCAGCCATGGCTGGCCGGGCATCCACGATGAAAAGTCGGATGTCGCTGATCCTGAAGGAGTGAGAGTGGGTGAGCAGTTCTATCTATGATCCCCACAACTCCCACCCTTGGAAGGATGAACATGAATCTCTTCCCTGCCCAGCTTCACAATGAATAACCAAGGCCATCATTTGGAAGCACATCAGACCAGTCCCTCCCCTGCTGAAATCTCCATTTTCCTTACTGTGGTCCTAAGGCCTACCTAATTTTGCCCTTCTTCCCTTCATTCTCTTCTCCCTCTTAGTTTCTCATTAGGCCACACTCTCTTCCCCATTTGGGTCCCTCTTTCCAGATACTCTCCTGCCTCCCTTCCATAATCCTAACCACATCTCAGGCTGGAATGCCACTTCCTCTGCAGCCTTACCCTGCTCCTGGTCTATTCTTTGACCTTCATTTTGTGGCAGCAATCAAGTTTGTAAGCACACAATTCTGATTATTGCCTCTTCCTATGGACCACAAATTCCACAGGGGCAGACCAACCATGTCTTTTTTTGTCACAGGAGGCACTCAAACTGTCACCAATTCAGTGCCAAGAATCCCCTCTCTAGATGTTGCTTATGCCCTGAATCTGCTAATCACAAGAATGGAGTCACTTGGAAGCATCTGTCCCTAGATTCCTTCAACAGAAGTTTCCTTCTGCTTGCAAGCCCTGGCATCTACAGTATGGTCCTTGTGCAAAATGCATGCAGCCTGAGGCTGAGCAACTAGGCCCTCGCACCCATACTCTGCATGGGTTGTGCTCCCTGGGCTGAGCAGCAGTCCTGCTGGGGTTGATGAGAGAACTGAAACTGAAGTAACTCTGACAAGTGAGATGGGTCACTCCATTTCAGAGAGAAATCTGAGCAAGGCTCACACTGGTGGCTTAATGTACACCTTTATGGTGAACCTGGTCAGCATTCAAGGAATGCCAAACCATTCATTGGCCCCACGGGTGGATCCTGGCTAAACACCCTTGTTCTAGAGAAAGGAGTTGTCAGATAGCTTTATTAGCGACAATCCTCTAGCACCTCTCCCATTAGTCTCTTCTTGTGGTGCCATAGACCACAGCAATTCTAATTTGACCTCTTGTATCTAGGCTTTACTAGAAGACTCCCTTTGAACAAAGAGTCTAGTGGTTTAAAAAACCAAGGATGAGGAAGGGGACCATGGGATAAATGTGAGAAGTCCTTGGCCATACTAAAAGAGAATGGGAACAGGACTCAAAGGCCTGACTTGCAAACCCTCTATCCCTCCCTCCAAAGGATGGAGGGCCTGCAGGTGTGCAGATGTCTCAGACACTACTAGAAAACCTAGACCAGATGATGCAAGGTACCTGTGGCTGTGGTTAAATTTCTGTACCAGTCTCCCACCATCGGCAAGTCGAATTTGGATGTTGGTAGTAGGCTCTGACTCGTTGATTAAGACAGAAGAGCTGGCTTTGGCTTCATTTTCTGCCTGCTGGGCTGGAGAGCTGGTACTCAATACCTGGGGGGCTGTGCTGAGGAGAGAAAACGTTAGGGTTGGCAGTAGGAATCCCTTCACACTGAGTATTTGCCGTGTGCCTGGCCTTTGCCTGGTGTTGCTGATGCAGTGATCAGGACAGACTAAAACCCTACCCTTCTGGGACTCAAAGATCCTAAAGAGTTTACTTCAGACCCCAAGAATGGCTCCTGGCTTCCTCACTCCTGAGGAGTCTTGGGTCAGGGACTTATCTTCCGCAGGAAGCCTGTGGCTGGAGAGACAGAGAACAAGACTGCAGCACTTAACAGCAAGACTAATTGTCAGGCTCTATGAAGTGCTGAGGGGAGCACTGCAAGTTTACAGCTGAGAAGCCTGGGCACAACCCGGCAAGCAACTGGTTGTGGTAGATTCTTCAGACTTACATCCCCATGCATTCATGGGTATGTCTCATATTCATGTATCAACTACAGGTGTGTGGGTGGGGTGGGTGGGGGAGTGATGGCAAGATTTCCTGAAGGCCAAATAAGGGCCAGGTAGTATAGGGATTCATACAATGAAGAGGACATGGAATCTGCCAGTGGTTAGAGCTCAATCTTAGAATCATATGGGCCAAGACAGTGTGGCCTTGCATAAATCATTCAGGTTCCCTTAGTTTTACCAAGGGTAGTAACAAGGACTTTTAACAGTGTTAAAGTTGTCCACCTGCCTTGCTCAGCTTTTATAAGAATTAAAGAGGAAAATTTTATAAAGTACTCAGGGTGGTGCACAAACACAAAATACACATAAACTCCCAATTTACAACAGTTTGCAGCATTCTCTCTTCTCAACCACCCACTTGCCTCATTCTTATCTTTTCTCTTAGCAGATGGCCTGGCCTAGACTTTTACAGAGGGGCTATTAAATATTTTGCTGACTTTCCCTCCTAACCCCCCATTTTTATCAGTTTTCTGCCTCACCCTTCCCCTGATCTTTATGGCCTAAAAAGGGTATTTGTAGCAAATCAAACTGAACATGTTCTCCGAAGTTTGTTTCATAGGACCCTAGTTCCTTGAGACAAGTCCAGAGAGGTTTGAGAAATGCCACTTTTAGCAGCACCAAAGGGCACTAGAGACTATTAAAGGTCTCAAGAGATTGTGCAGTGAATGCAAACTTAGTGAACCACCAGAGCCTGCCCTTTACACTTGTTAGTGTCCTGCACTTGTTAGAAAACACTGTTAAGAGTATTTTATGGATCCCAGTTTGTGAAATGTAGAAATAAATGTTGTAGAATACATAAAAAAACAAAGTACATATCCTTTTCTGTGAGTTTAGGGAATTAGGAAATAGACAATGCGGGCCACATTTGTGTGTTATGAGAGAAGCTGCTCTGTACATCAGCCTCAAAGCATGTAGGACTCACATGTGGGCTGGCGCACCCAGATAAATTATGCGATCACACCCTCTAAAGTTGTTTGGAAATAGTGGAAAGTTACAGGTTACACATGTAAATGTCTTACAGCTACTAATACTGTTTTGTTCACTAGTTTTATGGGCATTAGGTCAACTCTTCAGTTATACTACAGGCAACTGATCACTCAACTGTTTATTACAATTCCAAGTATGTAGCAGGTATTCAGTGAAGCTACTGCCTAACACAAATGGATGACTACCACATTTTCAGTGAGACCTAAAATGAGGAAGAAGCTGATATTTGTTCAGGTAGATTGAGGGAGAGGAAAAATAGGTGTGACATCTACATTTATTTTGTTCCGGTGCTGTCTAGAGGGCTTTATATACAGCCTCCCTGAATCATGACCCTTTCAGATAGGGGTTATCTATCTTTATTTTACAGATGAGAAAAGAGAAGCACATGCTACAGACCAGTTCTAAAAATGTTACTTATGCAACAGTTTTCTCCCCATATGTATTATTCTATGTATTTCCACCACGCAGAACTCTTTGTTGAGCTTTACTTTCTATGGTTTACTTTATGGAACTAATATTTATATTGAAAATTCTTTCTCAATCTTCTCCCCTGCTCCTGGGGGAATCTAACATACTTATCAGTTAGGAACTTGTGACCCTTAGCATGTTACTAAAGGTCTTGATGTCTCCATTTCCTTCTCTGTAAATGGAGATCCTGTCTCCACCCCCTCCTACCTTTTAGGATAGGCATTCCAGGGTGGCACCCATTGTTACTAAGGATAGTAAGTGTGCAGAAACTTCAGCAGCACTGCATGCCACCTGGTCCCAGCTATATCATTAACTAGAACTGTGACCTTGAGAACAAGTTCACTTTCTAGGGCTTCAGTGTTTTTGTGTAAAACAAAGAGTTGTTTGCATGGGTGTGTACATCTGTAACCCTAGCAACCAGGAAGCTGAGGCAAGAGGATCATGAGTTTGAGGGCTACACAGTGGGACTGAATTCTGAACCTTCCCTTATAACTAGAGTGGAGGTAAATACTAGATACGGTACCATATTTTTGGAGGACAAATTGACAACATCTTATAAATATGATGATCTTCTGAGCCAGGAATTTTACCTCTAGTCCAACATTACAGGGTATACAGAGATTTAATTACAGAGATATTCACTGCAATATTCATAGTACTGGCAGTTTGCGTATATATTTTAGTAATGATTGGTGAATTTACAGCACATCTGTAAGAAACAAAATCACATAAGCATAGAAAAAAGTGTAGAAATACATGTACTGATATTAAATGACAGCCATACTTCACTGATTAAAAAAGCAGGGGATAAAACAGATATACATTAGCTTCCTATCATTATAACAAAATACCTGAGCTACTTTAAAAACATGTATCTGGGCCCATAGTTTTAGAAGTTCCAGTGCAAAATAGGGCATACCTATTACTTTTTGTCCCTTGGCAGGCATGCCAGATGGTAATACTGGGGAATGCCTGGCACAGCAGACTGCTTACCTCATGGCCAGGAAGCAAAAAAGAAAAGAGGAGGAAAGATGCACAATCCCCTTTAAAGGTATGTTCCCAGTGACCTAAGGACCTCCTGCTAGGCCCCAACTCCAAGGGTTCCTATACCTCTCAATGGTGCCAACCTGGGGGTCAAGATTCTTAACAATGGGCCTTTGAAGGACAAGTATCCAAATACACAGTAGCATGTTTACAAACACACACACATATAAGACTAGAAGGATATATTCTCCAGAGAATAACTGAATATTTCTGGGTGTTATGTTTAGAAACAGTTTATTTTTTACCTGAATTTTCTATTATTTTACATTTATAGAACAAAACAATCCCCCCGCCCCGGCAAAAACACAACAAAACAAAACAAAACCCCAACCCCCCCAAAAAACCAAAAACAAAAAACAAGTGTCTACAAAGCTCACTGCAGCTGACAGGGACACTCATTGTGAGTATGGCCATTCTGGGCCAGCCCCCAAGCCCTATTTGGCAGGTGAAATGATGAAAGCAGGCTGACATAGCTACACTGGTTACATGGTCACACTCCATTGGTCTCTAATGCCCTGAGCTTTGACCCTTGCTCTAAGGAGGCATGAATGGCCAACAGGGAAGTAGGGGATTCCTGGAGAATCAGCCACAAGAAGAAAGGTCAGATCTGCTGGCAGACCAAACATTAATTCCTGCTGAGGGGGGTGAGAAGAGCAAGGGCAATGGCTAGCTTGAGGGCAGAAGGAGTGTGGAAAGGAATTCCAGTCAGAAAGCCCAGGTTCTGCCAGTCTACCACATATGAGCCATGTGCCCAAGGGGCAGTCCTCAAAGCCCAAATAGCTTTGGGCTTCTCCTCCAAAATCTGGACTTTCCTGGCAAGGGGACCCTATGTTGAATACCTGTCACATACATGGTTCCCTCTGAAGAACACTTACCATGTGACCCCATGGCCATGGTCAAAGATAGAGAGACCTTGAAAGAAGGCAGCCTGCCCGAGGATAGCCAAGGGTCTGGTGAAGAACTCTGCTCATCACAGATTATCAGTGACTATTAACCAATCAGATCCAGTTGGAGTTTGAATACAAGACAAGAATGACTTGACAGAGGGTGCAGAAGTGAGAAGACAGGACAATGACAGAGGACATAGGCAGAAAAAGCCAAAGGAAGAGAATGTCAGATGGTACTAAAGCATAAAGAGAGTGCTGAGCTGCTACAATGGTGGAACATATGCCTGAACAGAACAATAGTGACTTTGATTCCCTAGGATCCTAAGAAATACCACTAGGAGGCCTGCCTGGTTAGGTGGAAATTCTGAGATTTCTTATCCCTCTGAGTACCAATTTAGACCTTAGGTCATCAAGGAGATCACACTTTCCCTGAACACCTTTGATTAATGAGCCAAAGCTCCAATTACATTACTGTTTGCAGTACTCTATATGTATCAGTTCCTTTATTCTTTCCAACAACAATAGTAGGATGTAGAGGCTCTTATTAGACCCAATTTATAGCTGAGGAAACTGAGTCTATCAAGTCCAAGGTCACATAACTACAAAATGAAGGAGGGTATTTACCTTGGGTCTTATAACTTCAAAGTTCACATCCTTCATGTTCTTCCCATAAAAATAAAATCTGAACTATTTTGCCAACAAGTATCCCTAGTGAGGACACAAGGTCTGCTGGGCCTGTCTAGTGGGACTAACATGGGAGCTGCTTCTTACCTGCCGAGTTTCTGGCCTTCACCAGTGAAAGCTTTGAAAGCTCCCTTAGGCTTCACAAAGTCCTCATCCCGATGGTCTTCCATATCCAAGTTCACCTGCCCACCATGAGCTAACCTCCGCAGCTCTGCTGGCACCTCCCTGAGAGGGAAAAGACAATGTTGAGATTCATAGCAGTCAGGACATTGGCTAGTGATGGGGTGAGAGAAGAGACCTCTCAGGTCCAATGGTGAAAACCACTAGGAGCTGGCTACTCCAGTGGCTACCTGGCTGCTTCCACTTTCTTTCTTGCTTGCTCAGTTATGAGACACCTATTTCTTATTTGACCACTTAGCTCTGCCCCAGGTTAAAAGGGGAAAAATGAATATAGTTTTTGGAGCAGATCTGTGACTCTGTATCTCAGTTGTGCTAAATATGCTTCAAAATTTTTATTTCTCAAATAACAAAATGCCCTGCCTCTAACTTGGCACCTCATCCACTAACATGGGACTCAGAGAGGGCTTGTCTGCTCACCCTCTGCGGATTGACTCCAGAAACTGGGCATTGGATGGGTCTTGGTAGCTTCTGAGCTCGCCATTGTCCAGGCTGAATCCACTTTTCCAGAGCTTCAGAACGACATGAACCTATGACAATTGGAGGCAAGCAGTTAATAGAGCCAGAAACCTGGAAAGCACACCAACTTGAACCTGCAAATTAGTAAGTATTTACTATTTTACCAAGTTGCTATTATTAAAACACAGGCAGACATACATATACACACATTCATGCAAAGGGAAATCAATTAACAACCAATCAAGAATGCATTAATCGGGGCAACCACTTTCCGGGTCACCCTTCAGTCTCTCTTAGACAGAAGCTTTCTTTCTCCCAATAAATTTTTCCTCTTAAAAAAAAAAAAAGAATGCATTAACCTAAAACAGGAAGGTGATATGGCCTAAGTCAGGAGCATGGACAGTGTTTTAAAGAGACTTGGGTTTGTATCTTGACATTGCCACTCACAAGCTAGGTAGCCCTGAGCAGGTGATGCAAAGCTGACTCCCAAATCTGTATGGTTGCAAATTTGTCTGGTATGTAGCTAGTGTTCTAGCTCATCTATTCATGACTATTTTGTAGTCATTAAACATGTTATCTACAGCTGGGTTTGGTAATATATGTCTGTAGTCCCAGCTACTTGGGAGGCTATGGTGGGAGGATCACTCGAGCCCAGTTCAAGACCAACCTATGCAAGATAATGAGACTGTCTCAAAAACAAACAAAAATGGTACTAATAATTTCTGTCAGCAATTCCTACATACATTCACTGAAAAGGGACAGACTCAAGTGTGGTGGCCCACACCCATAATTCCAGCACTCTGGAGGCTGAGGCAGGAGGAATGCAATTTGGATCCGAGCCTGGGTAACTCCCTCTCAAAAAGAAAAACAAAAAAAAAGGGCTGGAGATGTAGCCCAGTGAGAAGCCCCTCGTTTTAATTCCCAGTAATGAAAAGACAAGAAGAAAGAAAGGGGTCAAAAAGAAAGAAAAGGTTCAAGAAGGCTAAAAACTCCACAATATTGTAAACATTATGTAGTATAAACATGTACTAATAAAAAATAAACTATAGGGTGTTTAAAAAATGAAATATAAAGAAAACAAAAATTAAATTTCTACTGAAATTAAAAATTTTAATTGTTCATTTTTATTAACAAATAAACTTGATTGTATCATACTAAATGTGGAAAAGCTAAAAGCATTCCCCTTAAAATCAGGAACAAGACAAGGATGTCCACTATCATCTCTTCTATTCAACACAGTACTTGAAACATTAGCTAGAGGAACTAGGCAAGAGAAAGAAATAAAAGGTGTATATAGAAAAGAAAGAACTCAAATTATCATAATTTGCAAATGACATGATACAGAAGACCCAAAAAACTCCACCAAAAAACTCCGAGAATAACTAACTTCAGCAAAATAGATACAGGATACAAGATCAACACACAAAAATCATTAGCATTTGTGTACACCAACAATGAATGGGATGAGAAGGAAATTGTGAAAACAATGCCATTTACAGTATCCTCCAGAAAAATGAAATACATAGTACAACACATTATTCTTGTGTTTGTGTAAACAAATGTAAACATGTAAACAAATCTATTGCATTGCCAGCTTGTTAAAAGTATAGCAATACAGTTATGGATAGTACATAAGAACTATATTACTGTTATTAAAAAAAAAACGAAATATCTAGGAGTTAATCTAACCAAGGAAGTGAAAGACTTCTACAAAGAAAACTACAGTACCCTTAAGAAGGAGATTGGAGAAGACATCTGAAAATGGAAGGATGTCCCCTGCTCCTGGATTGACAGAACCAATATAGTCAAAACAGCCAACTTCCAAAACTGTTACATAGATTTAATGCAGTTCCAATCAACAGCATACTTTATGGATCTAGAGAAAACAATCCTAGAATTCATAAAGAACTAGAAGAGATTCAGATTTGCAAAAGTAACTGTGGGCAAAAAGAGCAAAGCAAGCAGCATAGCACCACCTGACTTCAAACTATACTGCAAAACAATTGTGATAAAAATGGCATGGTACTGGAACAAAAACATGTGGATCAATGGAACAGAATTAAGGATATAGAAAAATCACCAGACATATTCAACCATCTGATCTTTGACAAAGAGGCCAAAAACATATGTTGGAGGAAAGATAGCCTATTCCACAAGTGGTGCTGGGAAAACTGGTTATCTGCAGAATAAAACTGGACCCTTATCTCTTTTTTTTTTTTTTGGTATCGGGGATCAAACTTGGGACCTTGTGCTTGCGAGGCAGGCGGTGGACCCACTGAGCTAAATCCCCAGCCCTGGACCCTTATCTCTTACCATGTACTAAATTGAAATCAAAATGGATCAAAAATCTAAATATTAAAACAGAAACATTAGAGTACTACTCTGCCACAAAGAAAGATGAGCTTCAGACATTTATGGCTAAATGGATGGACCTTGAGACCACACCCTTAAGTGAAATAAATCAGACACACATGTTTAAATACTACATTATTGCTCTGGTGCGAGAAACTGAAAGTGGAAATAAGCACTATAATGTATAACAGATATTGGGAAATGGGAAGAAAATGTTCAAATGGGAAGGGGAACAAGGAAGGAGAGGGAGAAAGGAAAGAAGGGACAAGAAAAAATGTGAAAATACAAGGAAAGAATGGAAGCAAAGCTTTTGTACATAGGGAGGGGGCAGGGTACATAGGGAGGGCAGAAATAGGATAGAAAAATAAAACAGAAACATTAAACCTTCTGGAAGATGAAATAGCAGCAAGAATCAACAAATGGGATTATATCAGACTAAAAAGCTTTTGTACAGCAAAACAATCAATCAGCAGAGTGAAGAGACAACCTATAGAACGAGAAAAAAACTTTTGCCAGCTACTCCTCAGAGGACTAATATCTAGAAAATGCAAGTAACTCAAAAAAATTAAACCACCTAAAATTAAAGACCCAGTCAAGAAATGGACAAGAGAAATGAACAGACACTTCATAGAGGAAGAAATACAAATGGTCAACAGATACATTAAAAAATGTTCAACATCTTTAGCCATTATATGCAAATTAAAACAACACTAAGATTCCATCTTACTCTTGACAGAATGGCAATCACTAGAAAATCAAACAATAACAAATGCTGGTGTGGCTATGGTGATATAAACTAGTACAACCATTATGGAAATCAGTATGATTTCAAAGAACTGAAATTAGAAATTCCAGCTATCGGGGCCAGGGATTTAGCTCAGTGGTTCCGGTGCCTGCCTTGTAAGTGCAAAATCCCAAGTTCGATCCCTGGAACCAAAAAAAAAAAAAAAAGAAAGAAAGAAATTCCAGCTATCTCCCTGCTAGGTATCTTCCCCCAAAAGCTTAAGTTATTCTACAGCAATACTTGTATACCAATGTTTATAGCAGCACAATTCACAATAGCTAAATCCTGATATACCCCATCAACAGATGACTGGATAAACAAAAAATGGTATCTATATATAATGGAAGACTACTGGGCTATAAAGAATGACAAATTTGAGACATTTGTAGGAAAATGGATGGACCTAGAAAATATAATGTTGACTAAAATAAATCAGACACATAACCTTAAATATCATACAGTTTCTCTTATTTGAGGCAAAACACAAAGAAAATGATGTAAGACAGACAGAAATGGACAAGGGGAAGGACTTCTTACAATAAAGAAGTGGTCCAAGGGAACAAGGGTGAGGGGTGAGGAAGGGAAGGGGAAATAAGAATAAAGATATGCCATGTACAGGAACCTAAAAATCCCAATTAATGTAAACACTACACACCATAACATGAGCTAAGACAAATAACATCAACAAGTATGAAAAAGAGGAGAGGGGAACCAGTGGGGAAGGAAAGAGGGGAAAGAAAGGGGGAAGGGGATTATAAAACAAAGAAACAAGCTGTAATATGTACATGTAACCACTCTCAAGATGACTGTAAACTGTGTGAATTGCAAATACTAATAAAAATTAAAAACAAAATAAAGCTCATACATCCACAGTATGTAAAAAGATAGATAATAGAAGTAAGTAGATACATCTTTTTCAAATGGGAGGGGGATCAAGAGATGTTGGGTGGGCAGGGAAAGGGGGTGAAAAAGAACTGAAATGTGTTATGTACATGTACCAACTCCCCACAAGGAATATAATCATTACGTACTACAAACATGTACTAATAAAAAAACAGAAACTGAAAAAAAGGCTGAAAACTAATGCATTCGTAACTGTTGCCACAAGTAGACATGATTTTTATTTTCTTCCTGCTTGACTTTATTTTGGAATAAACCCCAAAATAATTTAAAACATATATTCTTATACAAATAAATGGTCACAAAGCAACATGAAAATGTTTGTGGCATAATATTAGAGATTTAAAAACATCCAAAATTGTCTGTGAAGTGTGACTGCACTTATAGGGGAAGAGACACTGTATACATGGAAGAAGTACTAGACAATAATAAAGAAAACTAAAAAAGAGCTGTGTTTCAGGCCTCCTCTGGTGGTCTGAGAGCAAATCTTCAGCCACGCCCACAACACTAGAGAATCCAGATACACTGTCCCTTTCTGCCTGAGATCCATGGAACATTCAGAAACCTTCACTTGTCCCTTCTAGCAGTGAGATGAAAGCTGCCTCTGATTTCCCAGTAAGGGCCCCTGTTCAGACCATAGCAGGGGCAGTGTCTCTACAGACCCTTCTTACACAGATTGCTGGTTCATGTACAACATGTGATCAATCCCTTCTGAAAAAGGGTGGAACAAACAATCCACAAGCTTCCATGAAGAAGGCAGAAGTAAAAAAAAAAGGCAGAAGTATACTCACATCCTGGCTGGAATGCTGTCTCCTTTCTCCTGCCACATAGGCAGACTCTTCCTCTGGTGCTGCTCCAAGACGGTAGCCACCTCCTGCAAAGGGCTATAAAAGACAAGTTCACAAACACTTGGTGGTGGGGTCACTTGGATACAATGATGCAACTTAGGTAAATAAAATTAAGAGGACAGGGATCCTGATCAAGCTTGTTAACTACTTAGATGTATTTTCTCCAAGTATCAAACTCAGTGCTCTAGGGTCAGGCAACAAGGTAAATAAATCAAGTGGCCAAGACTGCATTGAAACCTGGAAAACATAGTATGCCCAGCTAAAGGAAACAGTTGCTGCTAAAATCTAAGTAAGTATGGCCATGTAAAAATTTGGATGCAGGATTAATACCAAAGACTTTCTGATTTTCCTAAAGACAGAACTCAGATTTAGGATCTAGGCTATAGGCCATGGGTTTGAGAACTCTGTCCCCAATCATGGTTTCATGTTAATGGCTAAGAGAAACTACACTAGTTTTCTGCATAGGTGACCAAGTGAGCAAATGAAAGAAACAGTCACCAATGGAGTAGGAGAGGCCCCGTTCTTCACTGTGGAACTTGAGCACTACAGGCATAGGCAATGACCCTTAATGCTCACTCTTGGTTTACTGGTCTCTCCAGGGCTCTTGGTCACTCGCTCCACAGCTACAGCTCCGTGCTCCTTAGCACCTTTAAAGAGATCATCCACCAGCTCGTTGGGACTTTTCTTCCTGGGAGGGCCAACAATCTGTTGTCCACTTCTCTCTGAGCCCCCAGCATAAAACCTGTGTAGAAAACATACTTCTAACACCAAATGTACTTGGAAAACAAACAAAGCATGCCACTGGTTCTGGGCACAATGAAGCAAAGGATACAATGCCTATCTTTAAAGAAGTGACTGACCACTTGTGGAGACATGTAAGAAGGCACGCAGGTACAATGCAATGTGAGAAGCCATGAAGACAGTAATGGGCCTCTGGGCACAATGAGCTGGGGAGGACAGCCAAGGCTTCCTAGGAATGTGTCTCTAGGCTGAGTCTGGAGGATGAGGTTATCAAATGAACAGATTGGGGAAGGGCATTCCAGGCATGCACAACAGCATGTCAGTGCAGGAGGGCACCAGAACTGGGATTGTCCATCCGCATGCCAGTGCCTCTCTGAAACAGTGACTATGATTCTAGTCAGAAGCCGCTACTTTCAGTAGCTGTGAGTTAATGGTGGCTGTGGTGTGGTTAGTACAAACAGCTAGGCTCCAGTCCTGATTCTGCCACTGTGTGATCTGGGTAAACCAGTGCACTGCTCTGTACACTGTCCTTGTCTTTGAAATGGGAAGGAGGGACCACATGCCCTACCTACCTGCTCCTTAAGTCAGGGCCGTGAGGTTCAAATCAGCAGATGTATGCAAAAGAACAAGCAGAGTAATGCACATATGTGAGGTGGTGTGTGGCACAGCACCAAGAGCTCCCCCAAGACTCACCTCACCTTGCCATTCTTGTGACATAACACTGGGGGCCCTGAGATGGTACTGGAGAAGGCCGGTGAAACTCCATTCTCAAATACAAGCTCCAAGATATCCATATCAGGCTTTATAACGGGTGAAGACTGGCTTCAGATTGTTAGTATTTTTTTTTTTACTTTGACCTGAAAACCAGTTCTTGTGTCGCTGCTTCCTTATAACTATTAACAATTAAGCAATAGCATGTCCCCAAATTGGGAGATGAAGACTAGTATAAGTTACTTTCAGCTCTCAATCCTGGCATTCACTAGGGAATGTGATGCAGAGCACAGGCCCTGGTAGGGACAAGGTGGTAGTGTTGCTTCAGGTCTGAAATACTGAGAGGCCAAGATATTCATAGGCCCATATGTGGGCCTATGAATAATGGAAGGTCATAGTTTGGAGGATACGACTGGGCAGAAGGTGGAAGAGGCTGGGCATTCACATACTAGATAACACTACCTCAAGGGATGTAAAACTCTGGTAGTAATGTATATTCCTGAACCTTGAGTAGATGTAGAAGGACGGTTCTGAGGTAGTGTAAAGGCCAAAATATGAACAGCAAACAAGGGGTGGGCGAGGTGGGGCACACCTATAATCCCAGCACTAGGGAGGCTGAGGCAGGAAAATCTAAGCCAGCCTGAACTACATAGCAAGATGCTGTCTCAAACAAAACAAAACAAAAGGCAAACAACCCCCTGAAAATATATGTAATTTCTATGTTCACTTCCCAAAGACTGACCATTGTGAGGCAGCTGTATTTCCATAGTAGTTACTATATGTTACTTAAGAATGTTCAACAGGCTGAGGCAGACTGATGAAGAACTAAAACCAGTGACATGTGGCTGTGGCCAGTTCATTCTTGTTCCATCCATGTGGATAAGGTTCTGCTCAGTGGTCTGCAAGGTCCTTATTAAGGGATCTCCAAGCCTTGGCTTAAGAGCTGGGAGGCTGTGATCAAAAGCCTTAAAAATATCCATGCCCCTGACTTGATACTTTCATTTCTAGTAACTATTACAAGAAAATAATCTGAAATGTGGCTAAAGATTAATACAAAAAGATGCTGACAGCACTGACATAGTAAAAAATTAGAAATGACCAAAATGTTGGGCATCCCAAATCAGTTATTATAAACACTAAAAATGCTTATGAAGAATTTCAATGATATGGAGAATTTTTTAAGACCTAGCATTAATCTAACAAAAGAAGAGCAAAATTCTGACCTTCATTGTGTAAAATATAAAGTATATTTATATACAGAACAAAGACTGAATAATATACCAAAATATTAACTGTATTATCAAAGGATAAATTAGTACTTTTTCATTACACTAGCCGATATTTCCCATAATGCAAATTAACTTTACTATAACATTCCTAAAACTTAAAAAACAGTGTATGTGTGGGTTGGGAGAATATACATCTATAAGCCTCTATTTATTATTTGTGTATTGCTTTTTTCTATAAAAAGAAAAAGCTACAAAGAAATAGACTAAAAATATTGATACCTAGTTGTATCTGGGCTGTGACATTATAAATGACTTTTTCCTTTCTACCAGTTTGTTTCTCTCCTCCTAATATTCCTCAAAAAATATATATTGTTTTAACAAACAAACAAACCAAACCCAGAATACCATAAAAGAAAAGCAGGGAACAGAGATGACTTCTAAGCTACAGGGAGTAGGCAATGTTCTTGGATATAAGCCCCTACCAATAGTAATGGTTAACAATAACCAAGCACGTGTCCTACGTTCTGTTCTAGGTGATTCATGCATTACTGTGAATTTCTTTTTCTTTTTTTTTGGTACCGGGGATTGAACTCTGGTCCTTGTGTTTGCACAGCAGGCGGTGAAACCACTGAGCTAAATCCCTGGCCCTACTATGAACTTCTTGTGGGCTCTGCCCTCCCATCAAATACTTACCTCTGGCCCTCTTCCTCTTCGTCATCCTCATCTTGGTCATGAATAAGGTCTCTGAAGGATGTCACCCTATTATCACTGAAGACACAGAAACAAGTAAAGTGATTTCAAGGAGAGTTAAAGAAAGGTAATCCTCATCATCAGCTGCTAAGCTCAGGACACTGGAACTAGATTTTTTCTTGGTGGGGTGAGAAGATGTATGTGGAAGAGGGCTAAATCCCCCCCGCCCCGGCAAGTTTGGATGCAAAATAATGTAGCATTTATTTCTGCAAGGTCATACAGGATTAAGACTAAACTAGAAAGAGCTATTGTGAGGTAAATGGAATCTAATTTAAGCTGTCCCAGAAGTGGGGTAATGGGGTCTTTATTACTTTAAAAATTAATTACAGCCCTTAATGGCCATTTTTAATCATTTAATTCTCAAATACTGACAGAATGACTATATGTTAGACGCTACACTGGATACTGGCGCTGTAAACATAACTGGATCCAGTTCTTACAGGCTAGTGGCACAGATGGGCCAGGCAATCATTCACTAAATCTCATGTGAGAGAGGAAGTCCAGGGGCTTTGTGAGTAGAAAGCCTTTTGTTCTGAGTGGGGTAAAGTCAAGAAAGACTTCCCAAGTCCCATTTGACCCTGCTATTCCACTGCTGGGGATCTTTCCCAAAGAAATAAAAGAATCATACCACAGTGATATATGTGTGCCCATGTTCATAGCAGCATAGTTTGTGATAGCTAAAACTTGGAAACAGCCCAAATGCCCATCAACTGGAGACTGGATAAAGAAAATGTGTTTTTTTAATAAAATAGAGTACTACTCAGCCATAAAAAATGAGAAATTAGAGACATTTATAGCTAAGTGGATGCACATTGAGGCGATACTCTTTAAGTGAAATAAATAGGACACACATGTATAAATACCGAATAGTTTCTCTGGTGTGAGAAACTGAAAGTGTAAATTAGGACTAAAATGTATAAGAGGTAATGTGAAATAGGAAGAAAAGGGGCAAAGGGGAAGGAAGTGGGAGAGCTAGGGGAAAGGATAGAAGGGAATGGGATTAATATGAGAAAATGGAAAAATAGGAACAAAATCTTTGTAAATAGGGAGGAATGGAGGGGTTGAAGTGAGGGCTGGGCAAGGGTGAAAAATAAGAACCAAGAGAGATTATGGAAAGGTGCAAATTTCCAATGATGAATGTCATTGTATTGTATACCTAAAATGTACCAATGATTAGAATGAATAATCGATAATGCAAAATAGGAAGAAAATGTCTAAAGGGGTAGGGGTAGTGGGAGGGGCAAGGGAAAGGAAAGAAGGGAAAGGAAAAATGCTGAGAAATGGAAAAAATGGAAATAAAGTCTTTGTAAATAGGGAAGGGTGGAGGGGGTGAAGGGAGGGCTAGGAATGGGGAAAAAATAAGCACCAAGATGCATTATGTAAAGGTACAATTCCCAGTGAGAAATGTAATTGTGTTGTATACCTAAAATGTACCAATAAAGGAATTTAAAAAAAAAAAAAAAGAAAGACTTCCCAGAAAAATACCACATTTTAACTAGTGCCAAAGAACTGGAAGATAGGGAATCAGATGGACAAAGGGTGGTGGGGCTGGAGGGGAAAGGGTATGGATACAGCATTTCAGGAAAGCTGCATGTGCAAATGTACAGAGACAAGAGTCACACACTGAAGGAAAGACAAGAAGTGTAAATCCAATGAATATGGGGGTGGCAGAACTGAAGGAGAGAAGGTCCCTGTCTACTTCTGCTACAGGCCAGTCAAGAAAAGATATTTGTTAATATTTATGGGAAAAGAGTGTCATGTAGTATGGGGTGTGGTAGGGAGGGCACAACTAAACAAAGGTATGAGCAGAGTTTATACCCTCTTCTAACATTCTTACACTGCCACTTTTTTCCTAGCTTAGCCCTGTTTTCAAGGAACAAGTTTAATTTTTCAAGGACCATTAGACAATTTTGTAAAGATGAAAAACATTTCCGTATTTCTGAGGGGAAAAAAGCAGCTCTGGAGTGGTGGTGGAACAGGTTTTCTGAGGCCAGACAAAGAGGAAGAGATTATTTACTAGGAAAAAAGTTCCAGCTCAGTCTTGAAGACTACAAGGAGATAAGCAGGAGATGAGAAGCTATGGAATTCTATCAACTAGGAACAAGAACACACAGCCCCTACTTGAGTTAGAGGGCAACATCCTGGGAATTCCTTGAGCTGGATATAACATAGTTCAAAAGGATCCAACTGATGACATTTGCACTAGTCCACAGAGAGAGGTTAATTCTACTTATCTTCCCAGGGGGAGTTTTCTAGCTAAAGTCTTTGAACGATGAGTATCCATGGAAAAAGCAATTGCCTTGTTGTTAAACTCTTTTCTACACATACATCTGCTTGAGCAAACGATTTGCTTTTGCTATGCATTTTTTTCCTTCCTCCTAAAACCTATACATGTAGATTCTCACACGCACCTACGTGGTGTCAACTTCAACTCTGTCTCCTACCCTGGGATCTCAGGCATGCTAGTTAAATTCTTTAAGCCTTCATTTTCTCACATGTAAATGCAGGCAATCTTAGCACCTCCAAGGTTTTCTGTGTACAGCTGGGGTACGGATGCATGTAGAGCCATTTGCATGCTGCAGTACATTTAAATACTATTCATGAGCAGCATTTTTTGAAGTACAGTCCTTAGATCAGGAGCATCAGTGTTACTTGTGAACCTTTGAGAAACGCAAATCCTCAAGGTCTACCTTCAGAAACTCTGGAATGGGTGCCCAGCAACCCAATTTTTTTTTTGGCACTGGGGATCGAACTTGGGTCCTTGCGCTTGCGCAGCAGGCAGTGAAACCACTGAGCTAAATCCGCAGCCCCCAGCACCCCAATTTTAAGGAGCCCTAAAGGTCATTTTGAGACAGCCTCAAGTTTAAGAACTGCTGCCCTGGAGTAATGCTTTGAGTCAGTCACCTTATGGCACTGTCTTTGGGACATTACTAATTTCAGAATTCATTGCCCTATGGGCTTCATAAATTGTAAAATGTCTGAGAAATTTCCAGTTTTTGGCAGCAGAATTCTATCCTCCAGGCCACTCTGGCAACCTGAACTAGCACAAAAGTTCTTTATTAAATCATATCTGCTTTTAATCTGGTCATCTTGGTTCTTTGGTAGCACCATTTTTGTGATGATGGAAATTTTTTTATCTGTGCTGTCCAAATAGAAAATCACTAGCCACATGTGGTTACTAAGGTTCTGAAATGTGGTTACTGCAAACAACTGAATGTTTGTTTTATTCAATTTTAATTAACGTAAACTGCTACATGAGGCTAGTGGCTAACTTACTGGATAGTGTAAAGAACCAAACAATAGTCCCAGAAATTCTCTTTATTAGATGAAAAAGGAAAATAAAGTAAATGACTGTCACCTCTTGCTTGATCTGTGTACGGGGGATAAGGGTGAGAGATGTTGCTCAGGGAAGTAGCATGGGGTAGCAAAAGCAGCACTGGCTTTAGAAAGCCTTGGCTTCGAATCTGCAGGCACAAAGGTTGAATTACTCAAACTTTCTAAGACTCAGAATCTTGACCCATGATTGGCAAGTACTCTACTACTTCCAAAGCTATTGAAAGGTGTAAGAGAATACAGAAGAGATATCTGGCAGAGCAAGACAGTTGGTGAGCATTCTTGAAATATCAGTCATCCCACTTCCAATTAGGGAGAAAAATTAGAAAGAGTTCAAGACAACATAGGAGAGGTGACACCCAGTAGTATGAGGATATGGTCAAAGTGAAAGAATTAGAATTAGGGCCAGAGATCTGAGGAACAGGACTGTGGTGTGCTGCTCAGCAGAGTGGGGATGGAGGCAACTGTGGTAGAAAAGGACACAGGGATGAGATAGGCAGAGGGCAAGAAAGCACACAACCACTCAAATAAGAGGCTCAGAAGAAAGCAGAACCAAAAATCAGCAGAGCTGGGATACCAAAGGACTTAGTCTGGCTGGAACAAAGGATTAAAGAAATGACAAAAAGTGGGTAAGACTAGGAAGGCAGTCTCAGGATAAACTCTTGAGGCCTTTGAGTATTCATAGGGAGAGCCAATATGTTAATTGTGGATGACAGTGAAGATATTAAATGCAGAACAGTCTTCCCCTGAAGTCCTTGTTTTACTGTGACCTTGGGAAAAAGCCCAGCCCTCGTGTTTTCATCTGTAAACCGGGGATAGTAACAGTATTCATCTCACGGGGCTGTTGTGAGACCTAAAAAGCTGTGACTACAAAGGCTTAACTCAGTGTCTGGCACACACTAAGTGCTCAATAAATGATAGCTGTTATTATTGAGGAGTTTAGACTTCCTCCCACAGCAATGATGAAGTTTTTTTTATGTTCTTTACTCCTTTGAGAATCTGATCAAAGCTATGGACTCTCTTGCCAGCAAAGATACCTGCCAACATACACACAAACTTGTGCCTACAATTTCAGGTAATTTATAGACCTTCTCTCATCCATTCCACAGACTCTTCCCAAGGGTTCAGGGGCTTCACATCCAACACCTCTGTTCTAGAGTCAACGGAGGAGCTCAATCATTGAACAGTGTTCTGAGACAGCAGTGACAACATGAAAGGTAGGTAAGATGATGTGAGGAATGGCGAGAGGTTAGCAACAGGCTCAAGTATCTGTGACAGTCAGGTGGAGGGGGTGTAGAGGTTCCCTATAAAATTCATCTGGGGTGCTAGCACAATTTTGGCTTCTCCAAAAATGCAGTCAATATTTTCCTTTCAGACCAGGACAATGATGGAACAAACTGCCTTCCATCCTTTTTCTTGGCTTCACCAAGCCCATTACCAAGTCTGAGGCTTAACCAAACCAAACAGGCAAGGCTTCTGGGCTCAAATATGTGTCCAGTCTTTTACTTCTTTCAGGCTTAATGTTAAACTCCATTTCTTTGATTATTTTGCTTCTATGCTTATGTTTTAATATATGTACTTGCTGTGGAATGAGGCTGGGCACTAAAAATAATTTAAAAAACAACAATAAGAGACATATACTCTATTCTAAATGTTATGTAAGTATTAATTCATTTAAGCTGCTATGAGGCAGATGCTACCATTAATCCCATTTGACATATAAGAAAAACTAAGGGACTGAGGTAAGTAATCTGCCCAAGGCTACAAAACACTGAAGTGGTAGAGCTGGGCTTTGAACCTATGCAGTCAGGTTCCTGGGTCCCTGCTCTAATAAGCCACTGCCTTGACCGGACTTTGAGACTGCTGAAAAGAGGATATAAGAATATGATGGCATTAGAGGCTAACTTGCAACTTCTCCCCATTGGTAATTCTGACATGCCAATAACCCAAGGCAGCTTTCAAAGACTCGGATCCCAAGAAATCAACCACGGCTACCAGCAGCTGGAAGAATAGCCCTCACCCTAACAACCATGTCCAAGGCAGTAAAACCCATGTGCTATCACCAACATCTCCTATCTTAGCGATGGTCTGTGAAATGGTCACAAGAAAATAACTGAAAGACTGCTTTCCTATTACCTCTTTTCTCTGCAGGTGAGAGGCAGGAAAAGACGTGGAGAGCAAGGAGATCTGGTGCTAGTTTTCCTTTAAAGGAAGGAAATATATCTTAAACCTTAAATACCCTGAGAGAGATAATTTACCACTTCATGCTAAAGAAACATTCTTTCTGTTTTCTGGGGGGTGAATTCAAACCCAAATAAAATTTTCTGGTGAAAACATATACCAGGGAGTAGAAGCTAAAGCAGAGAGCAAAGTCAGAGTTCAGACACTTCTGTATGAAGAGGTCCTGCCTATCTCCTGGAAAACCAGTGTTGTCGCATCCTATAGATCAGAACTGTCATCTGCCACGGGAGCCAGGGGGCCAGGAGAGGTGGTGGAAATGGGACCCAAAGGATTAATACTATTTCACCTAATAAACTAAAGGGTAGGTTACACAGACTTATTTTCTATAAGAAATTTTAATAGGATACTAGGCATACTAAAATACCAAAGCAGTATTCCTGAAGTCATCTGGGTTCAAAGTTTAAACTTTCACATCTATTGCAACCTTGAAAGACCTTTGGATTTACTTAAAAACTTCCACATATAGAGGAGTTACTCATGTTTCAGAAATAAAAGGTCCTCAAATATCTTAAAAGTAGGTTCTGTGATTTCTCCTAGAATTGAACCATAACCACACTCAGGAAAGAGTCACACATATCTCCATGCAGGAAATGAGTAAAGCATAAAGGGAATTACTCCCCATCACTTGGTCTAAATTTATTTTCTCACTCAAGCCTCTTAGTCCACATACGCAGACCTGAACCTTCTGTCAAGTCAGAAAATAACTCCTCCTCATTGCTGGAAGCACTCAGGTGTCAATAACTGAAGCAGGCCCTTACCTGGGGGCTGTGCCTCTGGACACTGAACTGGGGGTTGCCTGTGAAATGGTCACAATGTCTTCGTCCCCTCCGTCCTCATAAAAGCTCGCTAGCGCAATCTGAAACAGAAAAGCAGTACCTTGGAACTTGAAACCGTCTTTCACCTAATATATATCTCCTCTGAGCACAAAGAAGCAAGAACACCAAGACATGACCCACACAAGTCGGCTTGTACCTAGAGCCACAGAAAATGTGACTGAGTTACAGACCAAATGTTAGTCTTCATATCATCTGAAATGAATTCCACCCACCAAGGAGAAAAGAAAAGAAAGAAGTGTGGGGTGGAAGATACTCTTTGTTCTTTTTTTATGAAGTTAAAGCAGCATGTATTTATTGAGCATTTATTTATGTGCCAGGTTGTGCTGAGTCCTCTGGATGTGTTAATTTAATCTTCACAGAACTCCATGCAATTAGTACTATCACTGTCTCATTTTACAGCTGACAAAGAAGTACTGCAAAGTTAAGACAATTGCTCACAGCTAGTTATACAGTTGGTAAGGAGTACAGCCAGGGTCAATACGAGGTATTATGCTCAGGGCCTCAAACTTTTATAACCAGATGTCAGGAACTGTGGGGTCTGGTCTCTGTGCTAATTTTCCTTTCTTTCTTAATCTGTGAAATGGGGGCAACTGTACCACCAACCCTACAGATTATAAAATAATCCATTAAGATTTATGTACAGTCATGTCTTAGCCCTGTACATACTGAAGAAACATAGGAGTCCACTGACCACTTATGACTCTATGTCTCCCTTACCAACTCACTGGACAGGCACCACATCACATATACTAATACAAAGAAAGAAGAAAGAACGCTAGGGTCTACAGAAATGAAAAAGATGTAGCTTCTGTCCTCAAGATGACCAGCCATACTGAAGGCAGTAAGCTGTCATAGGACATAACTAGTCTGAGTATGCCTTATGCGAAACAAGTACCCTGATGGGGATAGTGTGCTACTTGGGCATTTGCACTGAACTGACAGAGAGACTATATTTATGTCCCGGTCCTGCCATTTGCAAGATCCTCAGTTTCTCTACCCACAGTGTGAGAATGGGAAAGATGACCTGTTGACAATAATACTGTGTATTTTTAGAGAAGCACTTCTGTTTCATACTTCTGCCCAACACAGGGGCTTCACACTGTCTGCACAGGCATGTGAAGCAATGTAAACTGTAGAATCAGCAGACTCAGTTCAAACTCCAATCCCACTATTTATTGACTGTGTGACCTTGGGCACATTCCTTGCCCTTTGAGTGTCCAATTTCTCATCCATAAAATGGGGCACTGGCAGAGTGGGACTCAAATGGGGACAAGAGACAGAATTCTTGGGCCTTAATCAGTGAGTGAGGTGAAAATATGACTTTTCCCCTATCTTCATGTTCGTTATCAGGGCTAGTCTTTTTCTTCTAATTAAAATGAGACTGAACTGAATTCTAATTTTATCTCTACTCTTGGTAGCCAGTAAGGACTTAAGCAAGTTATCCTCCTTAAACCTCAGCTGCAAAATTCGAAAGTTAAAAGGCATAAGACATGTAAAGCTGTTAGAACAGTGCTTAGCTTGTTGAATCTACTCAATATTAGTCATTGTCACCATCTACCTAAGACATAGGTTGGCCAAGAACATTTATGCAATTTTTCTACAATTAATTACTGAATGCTTATATGCTAATCATTGTTCTAGGCAGTGGGGATTCATTTTTTGTGCAAAAATCCCTCCTTAGTGAAGCTTATTTTCTTATTAACTAGCAAGTATTTAATGAACACTTAGTACTTGCCAGTGAATTCCAAGACTCCTATTGTATACTTTCGTTAACCAAGGTGAAAAGAACCAACCTCTCCACCATTCCACTGATAGTTTCTCCCAGCAGTTAGGTAAAGGGCGGGGGGGGGGCGTAGGCCAACTCCAGGGCCGCGTTCCTCTCTGCACTGTGGTCAGGCTGCGGACAGGGAACGGGGTGGGGGGTGGGGTGGCGACCACCTCCGCCCGAGCCTGGCCACGGCCAGGAGTTGGTCACTAGGACAAGGGTGGTCTCCAGCAGGCAGTCTGCTCCGCAGCCACGCCCCCAGGTGACGCTTCTCCAAGCGGGCTGTGATAGTGCCCTAAGTCTCGCTGACGCCTAGGAGCAGGCGAGGCAGTGGGGGGAAACTGAGGCCCGACACAACAGGAAGGGGCTGGCACGCGTTTCCCCACTCCCAAACCGAGCCGGGGACGTGTGGCAAGCGGCCCCTGGGCCATAAGGCCTGGGCCGGGCCCGGGTCGACAAGGATGACTGTGCGCTTCAGACGCCTAGGGCTTAAAGGGTCAGGCGCCCGCACTCCGCAGTCCCCAGCCCGCCCAACAAGGCCCGCCTTGCGGCCTTACCTGCAGGTCCCAGCCGGCCGACTCGAGGAAGAAGCGGGCCCGGTCCTCCTCAGCGCCCGTTACCGCCACAAACTCCCTCAGCGCATCCTGTCGTTCCGCCGCCATCTTCCCTTCGTGCACTTCCCAAACCACTCCGGTGGTCGCCGCACAGCTCTGTCGCAGCGTTCCGGTCGCCGGCCCGGCCACTGGGTTCCAGCCCACAGGCCCCGCCCCACGTGGTGCCTCATACAAAGTCCTCCGTGCGAGCCGCCCCCCCCCACCTCCTCCCGCTCCACGACCCCTAGAGGCCGCGGCGGGGACCGCAGCCTAACGGCGGGAATGGAAGTGAGCAGAGGATCAGCAGGGAGTTTTCCATAAACCTGTGGGATGAAACACAGATCCTGAAAAAAATCAGATTCACAATTAGCTGTTGCTTCATCCCAAAATCCATTAATTATTCATTTGTTTATTCATTTACTTGAAAGATTTCCTTTACACTGTTTTTTGTTTGTTTGGTTGGGGTTTTTTTGGTGCCAGGGATCGCACTCGGGTCCTTGCGCTTGCCCAGCAGGCGGCGAAATCACTGAGCTAAATCCCCGGCCCACTTGAAACATTTCCTGACAGCTTTCCAGGGCCTGATACTCTTCCAGGGCTGTGTATATGGTAGGGAGGAAAAAAATCTCAAGGCCCTGAATCTGTCATTCCTCTGCTCACAGTTCTTCCAAGGGTCCCTATCTCACCCTACATAAAACATTGTCATGCCTGCAAGCCCCATGTGAAGTTGGCCGCATGCTTCATTTCATCTCCTAGGGTTCGTACTAGTTTCGCTCCACCTGCCCTTCTTTGCTGGTCCTGAAATGTGCCATATATGCATTGACCTCAGGGCCTTTGCATTTGCTATATGCTTTAAAAAAATTTTTTT